AGCTGTCAAGGATACAACACAGTATTATTAACTATAGTCAGCATGCTGTACATTAGGTCCTCAGAATGTATTTATCTTATAACTGAAAGTTTATACCTTTTCACCAATGTTTTCCCATCGCCACCCCCCGCAGGCTCCCCAGTTCCTGGCAACCACCATTCCACTCTGTTTCTGTAAGTTTGACTTTTTTTTTTTTTGATTCTACATATAAGTGAAATCCCACAGTATTTTTCTTCTCACTTATTTCACTTAGCATAATATCCTCAAGGTACGTCTATGTTGTCACAAATGGCAAGATTTTCTTTTTATGGCTGAGTACTATTCTGTTGTGTGTATAGATAGATATAAATATATATTTCCCACATTTTCTTTATCCATTTATCCATAGACAGACACTTAGGTTGTCCCACTACTGAAGGAAACAAGATCAGTATCTTGAAGGGATATCTGCACTCCCACATTCTCTGCAGCATTACTCACAACAGCTAGGATGTAGACGTTGCCTGATCTTAAATCATCTCTTCCTTACCACCCACCACCAGGTGAAAAAGACCTTAAAGTCTACTTCATAAATACCTGGTTCTCTCCTGGTTCTCTCCTCTTCTCCATCCCTGCTACTGCCACACCTGTTCATACCCCATCATCTTTTTGTTTGTTTGTTTGTTTTTTCCTATACTAGTATAACGTGCATACCATGTAATTCACACTTTTAAGTTCTATGAGTTTTGACAAATGTATATAGTCATGTAACTGCAACTGCAATCAAGATATGAAACAGTCCCACCACTCCCCCCCCGCCCAAACTCTCCCATGCCTATTTGCAGTCAGTTCCTTCCCTATCCTTAGCCCTGGCAAACACTGATCTGTTTTCTATCCCTATAGTTCTGCCTTTTCTAGAATGTCATATAAATGGAATTATACTGTGTGTAACTTTGAATCTAGCATCTTTTACTTAGCATAATAAAATTGATATTCAACTATATTGTTGCAGATATCAGCAGTCTATTCCTTTTTATTATGTATATGTATTAGTTTGTTTATCCAAGTCATCAGTTGAAGAACATTTACTTCGTTTCTAGTTCAGGGCAGTTGTGAATAAAACGAAAATAATCATTCACATTTACCTTTCTGTGGGAATGTCAGTTTTCCTTGCACTGAGTAAACACTTAGGAGTGGGATTGCTGGGTGATATGGCAACTGTGTATATAACTTTATATAATAAGCAACAATGAAGCTGTTTTTCAAAGTGACTGGTCCATCTTGCATTCTCTCCAGCCATGTTTGAGAGTTCCAGATGTTCTCTACCTGTGTCAGCTTTTGGTATTGCTAGTTTTATTTTCTTATTTTTAGCCATTCTAAGAGGTTTGTAGTAGTATCTCATTGTGTGTGTGTGTGTGTGTGTCTAAAGATTTATTTATTTATTTTAGAGAGAGAGAGATTGAGAGAGAGAGAGCACAGGGTGGGGGGCCAGAGGAGAGAGAGAGTGTTAAGTAGACTCTGTGCTGAAGTCGGAGACTGAGGCCAGGTTAGAACTCACAACCCTGAGATAAAGACCCGAACCAAAACCAAGAGTTGGATGCTCAACCATCTGCTCCACCCAGGCATCCCTCATCGTGGTTTTAAGTCCCATTTTGTTAATGATTAATTATGTTAACATCTTACGTTAAACATGCTTATTTGCCATCCATATAGTGGGAAGTGTCTTTTGAAATCTTTGATCCCCTTCAAAAAAAATAAATAAATTGGTTTGTTTTCCTATTTTTTTATTGGGTTTTGAGAGTTTTTAGGTATTCCAGATACAAGTTCTTTATCAGATATGTGTTTTGCAAAAATGTTCTCCTAGTTTATGGCTTGTCTTTTTATTCTCTAAGAGTTTCTTTTTAAAAACTTTGTATTTTGAGATAATTGTAGATTCACATGCAGTTGTAAGATATAATACAGAGAGATTTTTGCTCCCCCCTTCTCCCAGTTTCCCCCAATGGTAACATCTTGCATAACTATAATACAACATCACAACCAAGGAATGGACATTGATACAATCAATCCATCTTATTCAACTTTCACCAGCTTTATATGCACTCTTGTGTGTGTGTGTGTGCTAGTGTGTGTTTCATTCTATGCAATTCTAGCACACATGTAGATTTCTCTGACCATCACCACAGTCAAGATACTAACACTCCATCACCAGGATCCTTTTATAGCCATAGCCACCTTACCCCCTCCCTTCTTTCCTAACCCCTGGCAACCACTAATCTCCTCTTCATCTCTATAATTTTGTCATTTCAAGAATGTTATATAAATGGAATCATACAGTATTTGACTTTGAGTCAAGTCTGGCTTCTTTCACTCAGCATAATTCCCTGAAAATTCATCCAAGTTGTTATATGTACTAGTAGTCCCTTCATTTTTATTGCTGAATAGTATTCCACAGCTTTTTAATCCATTCACTGGTTGAAGGACATCTTGGTCGTTTCCATTTTGGAGATATTACAAATAAAGCCGCTATGAGCATTTAAGTACAGGTTTTTTGTGTGAGCACAAGTTTTCATTTCTCTGGGATAAACACTCATGAGCACAATTGCTGGATCTTACAGTAGTTGCATTGTTAGTTTTGTAAGAAACTGCCAAACTGTTTTCTAGAATGGCTGTACCATTATCCATGATACATTTTACATTTTATATCCCCACCAGTAATGTATGTGTGATTCAGTTGCTCTGTATCCCAGTCAGGACCTGGTTTTGTTGCTATTTTTTATTTTAGCCATTCTGAGAGATGTGTAGTGACATCTCATTGTGGTTTTAATGTGTATTTTCCTGGTGGATAATGATGTTGAACATCTTTTCATGTGCTAACAGTGTCTTTCGAGGTACTCATCCTTCCTTATATATGTAGATATGTATTGTATGTATGTGTGTATGTATGTATTTTCCAGCTTTATTGAGATTTAATTGACATATAGGTTTAAGGTGTACAATTTGATAATTTGATCCATGTATATATAGATCTTCCTCGACTTGTGATGGGGTTATGTCCCAATAAACCTATCTTAAGTTGAAAATATCACAAATTGAAAATGTATGTAATACACCTAATCATCCGTAGCTTAGCCTAGCCTACCTTAAATGTGCTCAGAACACCTACATTAGCCTACAGTTGAGAAAAATCGCCTAACACAAAGCCTATTTTATAATAAAGTATTGAATAAAAATGCATTTAATACACTTAACCTACCAATCATCCATAGCTTAGCCTAGCCTACCTTAAATGTGCTCAGAACACCTACATTAGCCTACAGTTGAGAAAAATCGCCTAACACAAAGCCTATTTTATAATAAAGTATTGAACATCTCATGTAATGTATTGAACCATGCATTGAATGGTTGTATGGGTACAGAATGGTTGGAAGTGTAGAAGTTGTTTAACCTTGTGATCATGTGGCTGATTGGGGACTATGGCTCCCTGGTGCTGCCCAGCATCATGAGACAGCATGATACTGCATATCATCAGCCTAGGAAAAGATCAAAATTCAAAATTCTAAGTACAGTTTTTACTGAATGCATATCACTATGCATACCATCATAAAGTTGAAAAATAACTGGTCAAACCATCATAAGTCAGGGATCATCTGTACTGCGAAATTGTTATCACAATAAAGTTAATATCTCCATCACTTCACATAATTACTATCTATTTTTCTGGTGAGAATATTTAAGATTTACTGTCTTAGCAACTTTCAAGTATATAACACAATATTTTTAACTAGAGTCACCATGCTATACATTAGATTCTCAGAACTTATTTGTCTTATGACTGGAAATTTGTACCTTTGACCAATATCTGTCCATTTTCTGTACCCTGCCCCCAGCCCCTGCCCACCCATTCTACTCTGTTTCTACAAGTTCAGCTCTTTTAGATTCTACAGATAAGTGAGATCATACACTATTTGCCTTTCTCCATCTAAGTTATTTCATTTAGCATAATGCCCTCCAGTTTCATCTGTGTAGCTGCAAATGGCAGGATTTCCTTTTATCTTTTCTTTTTTTTTTTTTTGTGGCAGAAAAATATCCTGTTACTTATAGAAGATAAATATCAAATAATCTTTATATATACTCATATCACATTTTATTTATCCATTTATCCACTGATAAACACTTAAGTGTTTTCCATGTCTTGGTTAACACTGCAATGACTATGGGGGTGCAATGATCTCTTTGGCATCCAGATTTCAATTCTTTTGGAAATATTTCCAGAGGTGGAATTGCACTTCTAATAGAAAGGCACTTCTATTTTTCATTTTTTGAGGAACCTCCATCCTGTTTTCCATAGTGACTGCACAAATTTACCTTCCTACTAACTGTGCACAAGGGAACCCGTCCATTCCTGACAGGGCCATTGCATGTCAAAAGGTCCCTCTCTCTTCCAGTCTTGACCTCTTTCAAAACAGAGATAGAAGAGGTGCCTTCCACAGAATCCCATGCCCAATCCCGATGTAACTTGTAACTTCCTGTGGAAAAGCTGCCTCCTTCATCAGACCCTCGTCTCTAAGTGGGCAGAGGCGGTGGTGCTCTCAGCTCAGGATCATCCCCAGCCAGCATATTGCTCGTCACAGATCAAGTGACATTTCTTCAATGAATGAATAATAAAAAACAGAATGACTTCAGTGCTAAAAAGAGGTGTTGGCACAGAGAAAGAATGGATTAAGGAACCGGTCAGGGCATGGTGGTTGTCACCCCATTAACCTCTAAGTAGGCCAGCTGTGTAGCTAAACCTGGTGCCCAGATCTTGACCCTGCGCGTTCGCAGCGCTCTCCGTTCGGCCCCGCCCCAACCCCGCCCCTCAGTACTTCCCTTCAGCCCCCTCTACAGTCAGTAACCAATTAGGGACAGGAGGCGGTCCTGGTTGGCGCGGTGCTCCTTGGGTAGAGTCCCTAGTTACTGTTGCTAAGGCTGCGGCTGGCCGGAAGTGGTGGGAGTCAGAAGTTTTGGGAGCCAGATCCTGAGAGAGGTCAAGGGTCAGTGCAGAGCCGTGAGGAGATGGTGAAGCAGACCATACAGATTTTCGCGAGGGTGAAGCCCACTGTCCGGAAGCAGCAACAAGGGGTACGGGCAGCGAGGGCGCCGGCGCGGCGGGCCTCCCAGGCAGGGGAGGGACGGCACGCGGGGCCCTAGACTAGGGAGGGGGTTTGGCGTAGGGCGCCGGATGTCTCCCTGAGTCTCGCACACTCTGCTGAGGCGCCCCGGCGGCCACGCAGACACCAGCGCCCCGCTGTCCGGGACGCGGGCAGACACCCGGGCCACTCCCGCCCCGCAGCGCCCTGTGGGCGCGAACCCTGTGCACAGAACCACACACAGGCGCCCGGGCACACGTGTTCACGCAGGGGCCGACGCGTGCGTGTGTGCCTGTGTGCGCGCTCACAGGGGCCACGCCTCAACTTGCACCTTTCTCGCACCTTTCTGGGAAGCGGTCACGCAGCTCTGCACACTCTGCACACAGATAAGCCCAAGTGTATGTTTCTCACTCGGGCAGAACGTGCCAGCAAGAGATGCGTGTCCATACACGTCTGAGATGATACAGATAATGTAGGTAGATACACAGACTAAAAACATACCACTGTGGCTCTGTGCACAGTGGGCCCTGAGGAATTTGTTGCCTAACTACATCGTGCTTGTGCAACACAAACATGAACCTTTGACATAGTACTTTTTGCAGATATACATATTTATGCATCCCAAAGCAAAGAATACACATATACTTTTCATTCAGAAAACATTGAGCATTTACTAGGTGCTTCCTCTAGTGTGCTAAACTCAGAGGTACAAGAAGCTTAAGACCTTACCCTTGCCGTGAGTAGAGATACATGGTGTGCTTCTTAAATGTTTCAAAACATGTTTTTTTCTCCCTAGAAAGACTGTAGTCATTCTTACCACTTAGGCATTTTGTCTACATTATCTCTGATTCTCAGGAGAACTCTGTCATCTTCCTCATTTTGTAGATGAGGAAACTGAGTCTCAGATAGGTTAAATAATGTGGCCAAGTCATCCACCCAGTGAGTGGCAGAACCCTGATTTTAATAAAGGACTTTTTATTCCAAAGTTCTTGGCTCTTCAGACCAAACTTTTTTGCCTCCCAAAGCGAGGACTTAGGTAAGGGCAGTCTGGAATGGGTATATTATTAATAATATTTTATATCTATTCCATATCTACAATGTGTATATATGTAACATCATAGTATATCATAATGTAGCATTTGCCTCAAGTTATTTATGTATTTGAAACAAGAGTACAGCATCTTTGTCATCATCATCATCAAAAGATTTTTTACTCATGGACTACTTGAGGATAAGATGCATGAGAAGACTCCAAAGAAAATACTTTTTTTTTTTAAAGGAATAAAACAGTGTAGAAAGGAACCATGGATATCCTCCCATTTTCTCTCCTCTTATATTCACTTACGAGAAGGTTTTTTAAAGTGCTTCATATATACCAAGTGTTTTATATGTAAAGTCCCTCTGTACCTCTTCAGATTTTTAGCCAAAAATATTGAGCTTGTCTACATAGACTCAGCAGTGGGAAGTGGCTGCTTGGATTTGGTAATGTTAGAGGATTGGTTGGGCGAGGGGGTGGGGGAAGGTTGGGGGCGTTGATGGAGAATCTTGGGCGTAATTTGAACTTTCTCTTTTCTTAAATTGCAGTGTTTGGATATTTTACTGTGCCTTCTTTTGCATTTCTTTGGTGAGATTCTGTAGGGTGGATTGTTTGATACTGCAGGGAGTATTTTAGGTCCTACTGTATTTTTATAATGGCAGATCCTTACCAAGATGCAACATTATGCCACATACACAAAAATAAGAGAACACAGCTGAACACATTTTGAGTTAGTGTATCCCTGCTCTCCCTTAGAAATCCCACTTTTAGTACCCTATCTTTTTGCTCCTGAGATGTATGGTTGTTTCTTTGACTGTAACATTCAACCAGGAGTGATTCAAAGGTATTTTTCTTTTTTTAAGATTTTATTTATTTATTTGAGAGCGAGAGAGAGCCGCAGAGGGAGAGGGAGAAGCAGGCTCCCACTGAGCAGGGAGCCCGATGTGGGGCTTGATCCCAGGACCCTGAGATCATGACCCGAGCCAAAGGCAGACGCTTAACTGACGGAGCCACCCAGGTGCCCCTGTGTTTTTCTTTTTTTCCCTCTTCATTTTGTGGTTCTATATTTCATTAGTCTTATTCCTTAAGGCACTATAAAGTAAGTTATAATAATCTATAGAATGGTAACTTAGAAGATGCATAAGACAAATCTCTTATAGTTTTAGCAACGGCCATGCTTTTCATTTGTATAGTGTTCAGTACATTTCAAAACATGTTCACATTCATCCTTGCATTTCTTATAATTGTCTTCTGGGTCTAAAACCCCCCCCCCACTGTGTCTCAAATAAGTACTGTTATGACTAAAGGTAAAGAATCAGTCTATTAGACTAAATAAGTTTCTGGTTGAGAGGAACTTTTCTTAATGCCTCAAAGAATGGCTTAATCAGCAAGGTAAAGGGTCAGTGTTCTTACCGTAGTCGATGGTCCTTTCTGTCTTCTGAGCACTGAGTGTTACAGAATTTTTGAAAACATGTGACTCACACTAAAAGGAGTACCTCACTCTCGTATGTTTCATGTCTTACACACCCCTTTCACTCACCTGTCTAGCCATTAACTTTTTTTTTTTTTTTTAGTGTAGTGCCATACAGGATATAATTTTTAAATGTCTCTTGAGAAAAACTAGCCACGGAAAGTCTCAGACCTGATGCCATTACTTTCTACAAATAATTTTATTTTACAGGATGACTTTTCTGCATGAATTCTTCACATTTGAAGTGAGAGGGTTCAATAAAAATCTGCTTAGGAAAATTACTTACTTTTGGGAGATTTAGGTGAGCTTTTACTTGTTTAAGAATATGACTCCCCCCCCCCCATAATCAAGCATCTAAATGAGTCTTAAACAGGAAGTATTGCCTGTTAGAGAGACTTTTATTTCCTGTTGAAAGACAAGAAGTCTTTTTAAAAAACCTCTAAATCTAATGACTAACATTTTTTATGGTGCATTACAAAATGCTTCCATTTCCATGACATCATTTATCCCCACAGCAATCTTGTAAGGGAGGCAATTCTCTTTTCCTCATTTTATGTATGAAGGAACTGAGATTCTTAACGTGGTAGCTGGTCACACAGCTGGTAAATTGAGCTCAGTGTTGGACACAAGTCTTTGGGTACCAAGTCTTAGGCTATTCTTTATTCCACGTGACCTCTTTATAGGCTTGATCCTTGATTTTCCTGGCTGGTAAATAAAGGAGTAGGTGACCAAAAAGAGAGTCAGAGACTTTGCAGTTGGAAGGGGGGTTGGTTAAGACCCTTCATTTCCATATCAGTTTAGAGAGGTTAAGTGATTTCTCCCAGGTCCCTTGCTAATTAGTGGCTGAGCTGGGAGGAGAACCTTGAAGATGACATCAAAGACATGAATTACATATGTCTTTTGAAACCACATGTCTTTTATCAAATGCCTGAATATGTCTCATGGAAATTTGGGCTGCTTTGAATATAACTTGAATTAGAGCATTCTTGTGAGCTCTCTGAGAAGTCTCAGACCTAGTCCTTTGATCTGCTTCGGCCACTTTGTAAATGCTTAGAAATGCTTACTGGTCATAGAAAGATGTTAATTTCTGGTACATAATTCCAAAGCAGTACTTAGATTAATGTCCTGCTTTCAGAACTATTAGTTTCTCAACAACAGAGACACTCAAATGCTCAAATTTGAATACTAGATCATTCAGAGAGGATCTGAGCTTTGGTAGAGCATTGATTTAGATTTTACCTCTTCTTCTGTTCCATATATTTGTTAGAGTCTGTGTACAGTTCAAAGAGGAAAATTATCCAAATTATACTATGTTATGACTTATCTTGAGAGTACAATTTTTTATACAGTTATAATGCCTATCATAATAACATGGTCATAATTCAAGCCATAATTTTACCATGCTATATTCATTTGTTGTCTTTGTATTTGCAGATTTATTCCATAGATGAAGATGAAAAATTAACCCCTAGCCTGGAAATTATCTTACCTCGTGATTTGGCAGCTGGATTTGTGAATAATAAGCGAGAAAGTTACAAATTTAAGTAAGTTTATCTTTTGCCTTTGTTTCTGTTTTACTATTACTATTACTATTTACTATTACTTTTACTATTACTATTTACTATTTCTTATAGTACATTAATATCCCCTGTGAAATCATTAGTGCCATTTCTTGGGGAGAATGTAGTGCAATTTTCTATCTCATTTAGTAGGTAGATTTCAAGTTGTCTTTTCATCGCTGGGCCCAGAGTTGAAAAGAGGGTGTGTTTCTTTTCTTTTCTTTTTTTTTTTTTAAGATTTTATTTATTTATTTGACAGAGAGAGAGAGAGAGCAAGGGCATGCAAGCAGGGGGAGTGGCAGGCAGAGGGAGAGAAGTAGGCTCCCTGCTGAGCAGAGAGTCTGCCAGAAGTGGGATCATGACCTGAGCTGAAGGCAGAAGCTCAACCAACTGAGCCACCTCATCATCCCAAGGGTGTGTTTCTCTGTCCAAGATGCTGTCCCAAGATCCCAGTCTTTCTTTGTTACATCTGTTTATCTGGTGTTGTCCTTTTCCTACTTGGTCCACTATGATTTAGCACTTAGAGGAAGCTCAGTATATGACTAAACTTTATTCAAGTTAATAACTTAAGGTATAATCTGTGTGCTGTATAGATGAGCCTTCTTTATAACATAAATGATATCTGGATCTCATATCCTCATATGCACACTCCAATCTAATCCAGTCCAGTACCGTAGCCACTAGCCACAGGTGGCTCTTAAGCACTTAAAATGTAGCCAGCCTGAACTGGGATGTGCTCTAAGTGTAAAATATATCGAGGATTTTTGAAGGCTTGGTGTGGAAAAGAAAAAAAAAAAAAAAGAATGTAAAACATCTCAAGAATTTTTTCATACTGATTACATATTAAAATGATAAAGTTTGGGGTTATATTGGATTAAAAATAGATTCTTAAAATTAATTTCACCTGTTTCTTTGTTTAAAAAAGTGGCTACTGGAAAATGTTAAATTACATATATACTCACATGTATGGATTGCATTATATTTCTCATCCCTACGGTGCTGAACTGTAGGGATCGGGTGAAACATACTCAACAGCCACCCCTGGATTGTCATCAGTGCCTTTGGTCCAAATTCTCTTTTAGTAGCCAGGCCTTGAAATGGGAATTTGGGCTCCTTGATGCTGCCTTTTTTCTCTAGTTTCAGTCTGTGCTGTTTTCTTTCATCCACACTTTTGACTTTTGAAGAAGTTTGAGTCCAAGTCAAAGCCATATTTGATCTCTGCCTAAATTTAGGTAGTGGGTTTCTAGGTCCCGTGGAAGGAATCCTAATTGCTGTCTTGCATTTCTTTCTAGGCTGTTTTGCTTGGGCCCTGTTTTCATACTGTTTCTGCCCTCACCCTTTGCATAAAACCAGCCCAGATATTTTTTATTTTTCTCTCTCAAATTTATTTATGTATGTATGTATGTATGTATGTATGTATGTCTCATAAGAAGTCTCTTTGGTCTTGACAGTTTGTCCTCTGTGTCTCATTTATCTACCTCGTCCCACCTCCACCCCATCTCCTTGTGTCTTCTACTGTATGCACGCGGGATTGCTAACACATGGCTGCATAGTGAGGTGGTTCTTACCCTGTCTTTTTGGCTCCCTATTGCCTTTCATTTTGTTCCTTAAGGAGTGCTTTATAATACACGACTTACTTTTTCTGAAGCAGGCATTCTCCCACTGATGTAAGCATGCCACATACTTCAGTAGCTATGACTTCATGACAGCTGGGCGAGGCCAGTCTCTATAAAGCCACAGTTTGCTGAAACATTTGATTCAGCATGATTCTATGTGATTGTTAGGAACAATTGGCCATGTCTCCATCTATTGGCCTTTTCCAAAGTATTCTTTATATTATGTAGATAGAAACAGTGCATTGAAACATGTTCATTGAAAATGTGTTATTTGCTTATTTTTAAATCTCTTAGTCATTCCTTCTAAATCTCTGGATTAAAAATATTGGCTTTAGCATTTTAAATAAAGAAATTAATAAAATATTTAACTTATACCTATGTTCAGAGATAAATATTTCAGCATCTTAAGGGTGTTTCCTGCCAAGAAAATTCATTCATTCAATCAATACATATTTATTGACCATCCGCTATGTGCTGTTTTAAGGGCTAGGAACACAGCAGGGGATGCAACAAAGGTCCGGCTCTTACGGTGCATACATTTTATTGGGAGGGGGTAGATAGGCAGATCCTTAAGTACAGTGTATATTAGAAAGTGTTAAGTGCCACAGAGAAAACTAAGGCAGGCAAGGGGAATAAGGAGTGCCAGGAAGAGGGGCCACAAAGGGGAGGGATGGAGTGTTTCATAGGGCCATCAGGGAAGGTGTCCCAGGAGGGTGGTATTTGAGCAAAGGCTTAAAGGAGGTGAGGAAGTCAGACTTTCAGATGTGTGAGGGATTGGGGATTCCAGGCCAAGGAAAAGCCAAGAGCAAGTCCCAGAGATGGGAGAGTGCTGGCATGTCTGAGGAAGAATAAAGGGGTCTGTGTGGCTGGAGAAGAAGAAGGTTAAAGGAGCAGCAGAGTGGCCAGATCTAGGGAGGCTTAGAAGTCATCATAGGGATTGTTTTGGGGAAAAAGTCATTGTAAGCTTTTTCTTCCCAGTGTGTTAAGGGAAGGCAATGGAGGGTTTTGAGCAGAAGAATGAAATAATTTCACTGTGTTTTAGCAGGATCATTTGTCCTGGCACGTGGAAAAATAGACTGTAAGAGCAGTCTGTTTCAAGGGAGACCAGGCAAGAAATTATGGTAGCTTGGGCCGGGGTAGTGGCAAGTAGAAATGTTGAGAAATAGTTGGATTCTAGATGCATTCTGAAGGTCAGAGCTGACAGAGTTAGTGGATGGGTGGGATACAGAGTGTAACGGAGAGAGAGAGAGAGAGAGAGAATGGAGTCAGGATGCCCTAAGGGCTTTGGGCTGCGTGTTTAGAAGGATGGAGTTTTCCTGTACTAGGATGTGGAGGACCAGGAAGAACAGGTTTGGGGTGGGAAGAGGTCAGCATATGCCAAGTTCGAAATGGACTTTAGAAAAAGCCTACACAATTTCCTAATAAATGAAAGGACCTCCTCAGAATCAGGACACTGAAGTTATGTCTCAGGGAGCATTACTGATTAGCTCCAGGGCCACGAGTAAATTGCTTTATCTCCCTGGGCCTCAACTTCCTTCTCTGGAAAAGATTTGACTGAACTCTTTAAACTCTCTGATTCTGTTTTGTTCTTCCATGGTTTTTGGAAGCTAGCTGATCATTAATGACTTTTCAAATTACTATGTAACTAAATTACATAAAATAAAATATTTTGGGATGATGATATTTGGTCTTTAAGTACCATTGTATGATTTACTGAAACGCCTGCTGTCTCTTGGGTTTACATGGTGGTCAATGTAATTCCTATTACTTAGGGAGGTGGAGTTGGGAATGGCTGATGGATTCACTCTGTCATCGCCAGCCTGGTCAAAGAAGCAAATCAGCCTTATCACCATCATCCTCAAAAGCACCGCTGAGTCTGTGCTCAGAAATCACAGTAGGTGGTACTCTCAAGAGCGCTTGAGCGGCCACGTCCCCTGTGTTGTCAGCATTCATATCTGAAGCTGTGATGCACCTGCAGGGTTTTGAGGAGTATTCTGGGCAAACTGGTAAATACTGCTAAGATATAATCTTGCCTGCTAAATGACCTGGTCACCAGAGTGTCTGACAATCTCTCTTTTTGTATAGTTTCATTATTTGCTTCTTCAAAAGGGAAGTTGATAAGCTCTAAGGATCTTTTGAAGTTAATGTTGATTAAAGACCATGAATTTCATTCTATTTTGTATTTCCTACCCAGCTCCAGACATCCTTCTGAACTCCTTGGTCATGAAAATAGTACCACATTTCATGTAGTCTCTACTTTTTTTTTTTTAAGATTTTATTTATTTATGTATTTGTCAGAGAGAGAGAGAGAGAGAGCACAAGCAGGGGGCGTGGCAGGCAGAGGGAGAGGGAGAAGCAGGCTCCCCACTGAGCAGGGAGCCCTCTGTGGGGCTCGATCCCAGGACCCTGGGATCATGACCTGAGCTGAAGGCACACACTTAAGCGACTGAGCCACCCAGGCGTCCCCATGTAGTCTCTACTTTAATAGAATATGCATCTGACTCACTTGTGAATCACAAGTGAGACACATGGACCAGAAGTTCCTAAGCCACTCCGAAAGCTGCTTAGGATGCCCTCAACATGTTTGTTTTAAAGGTTTTGCTTTAAAGCCACACCATCCCTATTTTTTATTTTGAAAAATTTTAAATACACAGAAGAGGTGGAAGAATAATGCAATAACCTCTCCTAGACCCTTGGTGGGAGATTCACCAATTGTTAACATTTTGCCCTATATGCTTATGCTTCTCTCTTTCTTTTTCTCCCCCTTCGCTCCCCTCCTCTTTTCCCTCCCCATGTGTCTCCTCTCCCTCTTACTTCCTTCATGATGTTTTAATGAGGGCCATTCCTGCTGATAAGTGACTTACCACACTATAAAAGTTACCTTGGGTTTCCCACTGTGCCCGTGATCCTGTACTGAGCTCAGTCACGGCGCCATTGGGAGACAAGTAACGTCGACACCGTTCCTCCGCCCCACGGCCCTGGCCTTGCCAATCTGATAAAGATGTCTCTTTGCAGGCCCATCTGGATTTACTTTTTGACTTTTGATTCATGATCAACCCAATGGGGCAAAACTGCCCTGAGAATTTAAGTGGCCGATACCAAGATACAGCACCTATTGATGGAAAATCAACCTGAATTCACAATTTTAAAACCAAGTTCTATAATTGTGTATTTCACAGCTGCATTCTGTCCTTACAGGTCAGACATCAGAAATTCAATGGCTTGTTTACATCCTGTTCTTGGGTTTCCATTTCACGTACTTATCTGGATTCGAATTTGATGCCAGTTGCAGACACTGTCCCTCTTGAGGGCTAAAGAACACACAGTTTATTATTTGGTTCAAAGCTGCTGCAGTTTTTCAGAGGGATTTATTGTGCAGATCTTGTCAAAGCAATACTGTTTACCCACCATTTGTATACAGGGGTACAACAGGGCAGTGTGGTCAGGACTACAGGGCAGACATTGTGTCAGGTTAGGTAAGCCCAGTGATGTAAATATGGGGTAATTTACAAAGCTTTTAGGAAAAAAAATATTAATCCAATTTTGTTTGAAGCTCAGCCTTTAAATAACTACTACTTTCATATTTGCAGATTTCAAAAGATTTTTGATCAGGGTGCAAACCAAGAGACCATTTTTGAAAACATTGCCAAACCAGTTGCCGAGAGGTAGGATTTCCTATATTTTGTTCGGTGGGTTGGTGGTTTTTCATCTTGTCTTCAATTTTCAGATAATTGTGGTAATGTGCTTCGGCATATCAATTATATACTCATTGCTGCAGGGCATGCAACGATGCTAGTATTAATATCTTCTATTCACATAGCTGTTTGTTTTAGATTTAGATTTAGATTCTGAGCATTAAAACAAGCCAGTGAGGTAGAAGAGCCATTATTACTCCCATTTTAAAGGCTGTATAACTCTCTGAGGATCTGAGAGATTAAGTGACACCACTCAGGATTGTGTGGCTAGTGGTAATGGAGCCCTGGGTGGGGTACATCACCGTACTGTTAAGTCCAGGGCTCTTTCTCCAATATAGCATTTCCAACATCTGGTTAGAGGGATGAAGGCTGAGGTATGGGTGACACCTGGGAGGGCTACTAATGGTTGACCTAGCTTTATTGCAGTGTAATAACTACTTTTCAAAGCTTGGCCCTTAGCTTCTAGGTCCCTTGTGTTTCTACGTATTCAGATAGTTCCAGGCTACTGACTATTAGAACCAAACTCACATGAGAATACCGAATCAATCAGAATGCCATTTTATTAGTATATGTTGGCAAAAGTGTCCTTGGGACTAGACACTCAAGCCCTTTTGATAAGTACACTCTCCTCTTATAGGAAACCTGTATGAGAAATTACCACTACTTAAGGTTGCTTTCTCATCCTGATATGAGTTGGATGATTCTAATGACCTCATAATTTCCAAATACATCTATCTTTATGATTAAAATGAAAAATGTTCAGACAGTCCCCAACTTAGGATGGTTCAACTTAGGATTTTTCTTTTTTTTTTTTTTAAAGATTTTTTATTTATTTATTTGAGAGAGAGAGAATGAGAGACAGAGAGCATGAGAGGGGGGAGGGTCAGAGGGAGAAGCGGACTCCCTGCCGAGCAGGGAGCCCGATGTGGGACTCGATCCCGGGACTCCAGGATCATGACCTGAGCCGAAGGCAGTCGCTTAACCAACTGAACCACCCAGGCGCCCCCAACTTAGGATTTTTCGACTTTAGGATGGTGTGAAAGTGATAGGCATTCGGTAGAAATCCTATTTCGAACTTTGAATTTTGATCTTTTCCTGGGCTAGCGATTTGCAGTAGAGTACTCTCTTGTGATGCTGGGCGGAGGGGAGGCAGTGAGCACAGCTTCCAGTCAGCCACGTGATCACAAGGGTCAGCAACCAATGCACTTACAGCCATACTGTACCCATATAACCTTCAGTACACTAGGCAATAAGTTACATGAGGTATTCAATACTTTATTATAAAACAGGCTTTGTGGTGGATGATTTTACCCACCTGTAGGCTACTGGGAGGTTCAGAGCACACTGAAGGTGGACTAGGCTAAGCTGTGATGTTCAGTAAGTTGGGTGTATTAAATGCATTTTCAACTCATGGTGGGTTTCTTGGACAGAGCCCTATTATAAGTGGAGGAAGACCTATATCTGTTAAATAAACCCATTTTTCAATTCCACTCATCAGTATACCCTCTCCCACAGACATTGCTGGAAACTCATAGTCACATTTTGTCTCTCAAACTCTGTTTTCTGAATCCTACTCCAACTAAGCCTTTCTCTGTAAAAACAGTCTTCCTTCACAGTGGGTGAAATGCAATTGAATAGGCTTCGGCTGTTTTAGTTATAGTCACAATCCAATAATCTCTTCGGATTAAATTCAGGTCTCCTTGACTTCACGTCACACATCTCTAAAATTCTCTTCCTTTTAGTAATCTTTTGGGTTATGTCATTTTTCAGTTAGCTGACCTCATGTGTTTTATTTTGAAACTTTCTAAAATCATTCAGGGAGGGAGCCTTAGTTTCTGTTTCCTGGATGTCTGGTTTTTCCTCCCATTGCTACTGAGCTCTTCCATCTTGAGCCCACTTCCCCCTCCAGCTCTTGCGGGGTCCTCGGCCTGGAATTGTCTTCCTTCAGAAGTCTTCATGGTTGCCCCCTCAGCCTTGAGATTTTGCTCATATGTTACCTTCTCAGTAAGGTCTTCCTTTATTAACTGCACTTGAAATTGCACTTCCTTTCACCCTTCCCTGTTTTTTTTTAGTTTTTTAGCACTCATCCCCATCAGGTACACTGTATAGTTTGGTTGCTTATTAGGGTTTTGGTCTGTCTTCCACTAGAACAAAAGTTCCACAAAGGCTGGGATTTGTTTTGTTCACTGACTTGACAATGACACCCAACCTGATGATGACAAGATTTCAAGACTGACAGGCATTTTTATCCAGGCTGCTCAAGTGTTCTTAGTGAATCGTATCTTTTGTCAGTAGGAAACATTCCTCTTTGTCCTTTTTTTTTTTTTTTTAAGAGAGGGAGAGAGAGTGGAGGGAGGGAGAGGGGTAGAGAGAGATGATCTTAAGCAGGTTCCATGCCCAGCATGAGCCCAACTTGGGGCTCCATCTCACGACACTGAGATCATGACTTGACCTGAAATTAAGAGTTGGACGCTTAACTGACTGAGCCATCCAGGTGCCCCTCTTTGTCCTTTTTAAGACTTTTTTCCTTATATCCCATTTTTTCTGAAACTATTTTTGCTATTTTTTTTTTTCTGTTAGCCTTTATCTGGTTTATCTTTCTCCATCTCTTAATTCAACCGCCCTGTGACATTTTGTTTTTAAGCATGGCCCAAATAAAATACAACTGGCTTTTTCCTTTCAGCCACACTCAGAGTCCCTGATCTTTAATTGGGTACTTTGACTTGTTTATATTTATTATGATTATGATAATGATGTTTAGAGCTATTCTTCCTCTCTTAATTTATTTTTTCCATTCACCATACTTTGTTTTTTTCCTTTGTTGCTGTTGGTTAGTTTGACTATGCTTGTTGCTGCCGCTGCTTTCCATTTTCTCCCTCAAGGTGTACCTTGTACTTCAGCAGCCCCCATGTAGTTTAAGTTCAGATATTTAAACTCATTTGTATTTTTTCTCACTACCTAAAGTTTCTCCCTCTCTCTGTCTCTCACCTTGCACACTTTTACTTTGACTTTCCTACCCCTGTCATTTCCAGTGTTGAGACCAACTGATAACTGCATTCTGGATTGTTGTAAATCATTTTTATTAATAGCATTTATTTAAATTTATCTCTGAGTTAATATTTATTACTTTGCTCATCACTGTTCCTTATACTCTTGTCTACTTCTTGGATTCCTTTTTGAGTTTTGCTGCTCATCATCCTTTAATAACTTTTTTGAGAGTTCAGGACTGGGGAACTTCTGGAAGCTTTTCATCCCTCTTCACAGTAAAATGGAATTTGACTGGGTATAGGATAATCCCAGCTTAAACATTTCCTTTCTCTCATAACTGTGAAGATACTGCCCCATTGCCCCCTTGCTTGCAGTGTTGCTGAAAAGATGTCAGTGTCAATCTGGATCTTATTTCTTCATAGGAAATGCCTTTTTTTCCTTTCTGGAAGCTTTTAGGATTTTTTTATTTTGTTCTTTGTTTCATATCAGTGAATCTACTGATAGTGTAGGTATAGCTGTTTTTTCATGTATTCATGTATTCCTGTCTCATTCAGCCACTTCAATCTGAAAACTCTTATATTCAAGCTCAAGGGTCAAGTCATCCCATTGATAATATCTTTAATAATGAACAAAATCATTTCCTGCCCTCCAGCTGTTGATTTTCTCTTTTTGGAACTTGTATTTCCAGAACTACCACTTCTCGCCTTCAAATATTATAGCTGTTGTTTCCTAGTTTCCATCTCTTTGTCTTTTGGTTCCAAGTTCTGAAAGAATTTGTTAGCTCAATCTTCCAGCATTGGTAATTTGCTTTTCAGTTGTGTGCATTCTCTATCACCTGCCGCTTAAATTTTTAATTTTAGCAGTTTTATTTTTTCACTTCTAGGAGATGGGGAAAAAAGTCTCTTCTTCTTTATTGATGTGATATCCTCCCTTTTCACTCTGAAGACAATTATTATCTTCTTTTGAATTGGCTTTCTTTTTTCTGTATGCTTTTATTTATTTATTTATTTTAATGTTTATGCTCTACTGTTGCTTTCCTGGTGCAGATTTTCCTCAGATAATTGGTGATTTTAAGAAATGCCTGGCATTCCCTGTGAAGATTAGTCTTCAGGAATACATGTCCAGTGGAAATCTAGCCACTCTACACAGGCCCTTTCAAGCTGTGTTGTTGGGTTAACACATTGTAGCTTAATTCTGGTTGCTGTATACAGTTAAAGCAAAATAAAGTTAGTTCTATTTCTTTCCAAAAGTATGTAATTCAGGAGTCTTGCTAATTTAGACTCATCTTTTCCTATCTAAGTCAAAGAGTGCTAAGACTGCATGACTACAGAGCTGCATGACCAGTGGTGAGAATTTATAAAGCTTTACATTTGTGTCATTGGAGATTAAATAAAAGACTCTTTGTCGTTAGTTGTTTATCATTGAGTACATCTCCACTAGGAAGTACTTTGTCGTCCCACCTTTTTTGAACTTTTTCTGAAATATATCCTGTGTTGTTTAGCAACATGCAGAAACAGCTTTTTATCATATTAGTTTTGCTCATTGGTTTTGGACTCGTTTTGTATTTATTTATTTTTTATTTCTTTATTTTTAAAGATTTTATTTATTTATTTGACAGAGAGACACA